GTTATGTTAAGGTTGTTATTTATCGATGTTATGTTAAGGTTGTTATCTATCGATGTTATATTAAGATTGTTATTTATCGATGTTATGTATAGGTTGTTATTTATCGATGTTATGTAGATGTTGTTATTTATCGATGTTATGTAAAGGTTGTTATTTATCGATGTTATGTTAAGGTTGTTATTTATCGATGTTGTGTATAGGTTGTTTTTTATCGATGTTGTGCAGATGTTGTTATTTATCGATGTTATGTAGATGTTGTTATTTCTCGATGTTGTGTATAGGTTGTTATTTATCGATGTTATGTAGATGTTGTTATTTATCAATGTTATGTAGATGTTGTTATTTATCGATGTTATGTAGATGTTGTTATTTATCGATGTTATGTAGATGTTGTTATTTATCGATGTTATGTAGATGTTGTTATTTATCGATGTTATGTAAAGGTTGTTATTTATCGATGTTATGTAAAGGTTGTTATTTATCGATGTTATGTAGATGTTGTTATTTATCGATGTTGTGTATAGGTTGTTATTTATCGATGTTATGTAGATGTTGTTATTTATCAATGTTATGTTAAGGTTGTTATTTATCGATGTTATGTAGATGTTGTTATTTATCGATGTTATGTAGATGTTGTTATTTATCGATGTTATGTATAGGTTGTTATTTATCGATGTTATGTAAGGTTGTTATTTATCTGTTATATAGATGTTGTTATTTATCGATGTTATGTAGATGTTGTTATTTATCGATGTTATGTAAAGGTTGTTATTTATCGATGTTATGTAGATGTTGTTATTTATCGATGTTATGTAGATGTTGTTATTTATCGATGTTATGTAGATGTTGTTATTTATCGATGTTATGTAGATGTTGTTATTTATCGATGTTATGTAGATGTTGTTATTTATCGTTATGTTATGTATCGATGTTATGTAGTATTTATCGATGTTATGTTATTTGTTATTTATCGATGTTGTGTATAGGTTGTTATTTATCGATGTTATGTAGATGTTGTTATTTATCGATGTTATGTAGATGTTGTTATTTATCGATGTTATGTAAAGGTTGTTATTTATCGATGTTATGTTAAGGTTGTTATTTATCGATGTTATGTATATGTTGTTATTTATCAATGTTATGTTAAGGTTGTTATTTATCGATGTTATGTAGATGTTGTTATTTATCGATGTTATGTAAAGGTTGTTATTTATCGATGTTATGTTAAGGTTGTTATTTATCGATGTTGTGTATAGGTTGTTATTTATCAATGTTATGTAGATGTTGTTATTTATCGATGTTATGTTAAGGTTGTTATTTATCGATGTTGTGTATAGGTTGTTATTTATCGATGTTATGTAGATGTTGTTATTTATCGATGTTATGTACAGGTTGTTATTTATCGATGTTATGTAGATGTTGTTATTTATCGATGTTATGTAGATGTTGTTATTTATCGATGTTATGTAGATGTTGTTATTTATCGATGTTATGTAGATGTTGTTATTTATCGATGTTATGTAGATGTTGTTATTTATCGATGTTATGTAGATGTTGTTATTTATAGATGTTATGTAGAGGTTGTTATTTATCGATGTTATGTATAGGTTGTTATTTATCGATGTTATGTAGGTATGTTGTGTATTGTTTTTTATGTTATGTAGATGTTGTTATTTATCGTGTTGTGTACAGGTTGTTATTTATCAATGTTATGTAAAGGTTGTTATTTATCGATGTTATGTAGATGTTGTTATTTATCGATGTTATGTAGATGTTATTTATCGATGTTATGTAGATGTTGTTATTTATCGATGTTATGTACAGGTTGTTATTTATCGATGTTATGTAGATGTTGTTATTTATCGATGTTATGTAGATGTTATTTATCGATGTTGTGTAGATGTTGTTATTTATCGATGTTGTGTATAGGTTGTTATTTATCGATGTTATGTACAGGTTGTTATTTATCAATGTTATGTAGATGTTGTTATTTATCGATGTTATGTAAAGGTTGTTATTTATCGATGTTATGTAGATGTTGTTATTTATCGATGTTATGTACAGGTTGTTATTTATCAATGTTATGTAGATGTTGTTAGGTTGTTATTTATCGATGTTATGTAGATGTTGTTATTTATCGATGTTATGTAAAGGTTGTTATTTATCGATGTTATGTAGATGTTGTTATTTATCGATGTGTACAGGTTGTTATTTATCAATGTTATGTATAGGTTGTTATTTATCGATGTTATGTATAGGTTGTTATTTATCGATGTTATGTAGATGTTATTTATCGATGTTGTGTACAGGTTGTTATTTATCGATGTTATGTAGATGTTGTTATTTATCGATGTTATGTATAGGTTGTTATTTATCGATGTTATGTAGATGTTGTTATTTATCGATGTTATGTAGATGTTGTTATTTATCGATGTTATGTAGATGTTGTTATTTATCGATGTTATGTACAGGTTGTTATTTATCGATGTTATGTAGATGTTGTTATTTATCGATGTTATATAGGTTGTTATTTATCGATGTTATGTAGATGTTTATCGATGTTATGTAGATGTTGTTATTTATCGATGTTATGTAGATGTTGTTATTTATCGATGTTATGTAGATGTTGTTATTTATCGATGTTATGTATAGGTTGTTATTTATCAATGTTATGTAGATGTTGTTATTTATCGATGTTATGTATAGGTTGTTATTTATCAATGTTATGTAGATGTTGTTATTTATCGATGTTGTGTATAGGTTGTTATTTATCAATGTTATGTAGATGTTGTTATTTATCGATGTTATGTAGATGTTGTTATTTATCGATGTTGTGTATAGGTTGTTATTTATCAATGTTATGTAGATGTTGTTATTTATCGATGTTATGTAGATGTTGTTATTTATCGATGTTATGTAGATGTTATTTATAAAAGTTGTGTAGATGTTGTTATTTATCGATGTTGTGTATAGGTTGTTATTAATCGATGTTATGTAGATGTTGTTATTTATCGATGTTATGTAGATGTTGTTATTAATCGATGTTATGTAGATGTTGTTATTTATCAATGTTATGTAAAGGTTGTTATTTATCGATGTTTTGTAAAGGTTGTCCCTGATATTTCTCATCTATAAGATCTCTCTCCTTCAGTTAACCCTCACGTAATTATTGTATGTTTTTGTCGTTCCGCCTAGCCAAATTTTTCTGTGTTACAGGGCGCACACAACCTTGTACATACCACGCAGCGATTCACGGGACCCTTAAAATTAATACATAAGGTTACATGATCTGTAGTAAAATTTGAATCACGTGACATATTCAAGCGCTGTCAACGTGACTGATTTTATGTTTAGCTACCTATACTGTCAAAGGAAACATTTAGCATTTTGAGGGAAGATAGAGAAGAGTGGGGTGAGTATTAATAACTTGTTAGTTTGTAGCATGCAATCATACGTAAAGGTATACAAAAAAACATAGTTTTAATTATGAAGAGGTATTACCTTTCATTCCTTGAATCATTATGTTGAAATTCAACATTAAATTGATCGACCATTTACCGTGCATGTTTCAGCAGAGTCGATTCTCCTAATTTCTGTCGCGATCAGAACATGATGACATGGAGGTAGTAGACATACTTGTTATTTCACAATTACTGAAATGTCCTATTTCAACCGAAAACTTACAAGAAACAAAACCAACGATCATCCTATCCTTAACACACAGACATCAATAAAGATATATGCTGCATCTTTTTTCAGAGAGGTAGAGTCTTATATTTACAAGTTATGCGTTTTCAATGGTTTTTTAATGACCATAGGCTGTCCCTCTGACTCATCATAATAGACGTGTATATTTTGCAATTGAAGCTTGAATGGTACTTTGAAAGTACAATCTTTTCCTTATTAGACAGCAGCTACTTGGACTTTATAAGACTGATCAAGTAGATATAACCTTATGGAGAAAAAACATCTGGTATAGTGGAGATTTATCTAAGTTTGGGCCGATGGACCTTTCATCTAGATTTTGATATTTATGTCTTTCTTCAGTCGTCTCCGATGTCAAAAATGTTTGGAATCTACACATCACTGACAAGTCTGAGAAGGACGAAGCAGTTTAATTATTCCAACATACAGTATCTAATGGTTGATGTATATTAAAAAGATCATGTTTCTGTGTGTTTCATCCCATCTACATGGTTTAGCGACATTTCTCATATCAGGTCTACAGTTGGAAAAACATACATTCACAATGACATTTCTGCCGCCTCCCATAAAATGAATTCCAATGCAATTTGATAGATTGCCGCGTTTAAATATACTTTGTTACCAATAGTTACACGTTCTGTAGATTTTTTCATGTCGGCTATATTTTGTGTTGGTGTATTTGACGTCATAGAGTATTTCTCTTGAGTACAAATCTGGAAGGTTAAGGCAAAATTCAACAATATTCCACATGAAGTATCACCACGAACGCGAACATGTATATCAGAGTTGACTTGCTGGATCACAACACTAGCACCGAAAAATAAATACATTGGTCTGGTTCATGAATTTTGAAAAAAAAAATGAGTGTGAGAATCTCTAAAAACAAAAACAAAGGCATCTTTAAAAAAAATGAAAACAGTACAAAGACACATTTTCTATCCATTAAGTCCTGAAAATATTTGAGTTTCAGAATATTGTCAGATATATATATTTTTTTTCAAAATCTACATTTTGGTTGCTATGGAGATTTGCGACTGTCAATCAACATTTTGAAATATTTTTTGCTCATTATCCCAGTATCACTATTTGGCATTTTAATGGGGAAAATACTGGAAACAAAGATATGGAAATACTTTTAATTAAGAAAAAATATAAAGCTGTAGTTCTAGGTCATTTCCTGTCCTCTATTTCATAAAAATGTGTTAATACGTAACAGCAAAACATTTTTCTTAATTTAAAATGTTTTCTTCACTCTATTTGACAGGAAACTGAAACTGAAAGGAACGTCATTCGATATGTCTTCCGTTTCATTTCTGCTCCTGATCCTGTCTGTAGGGGCCACTGTCATGGCTAGGAGAACGATGAAGGACCTGGAGAAATTAAATGATACCTTATTCGAAGACTACAGACCAGAGTTCCGACCTGTGTTTTACATTGATGACACGCTACAAGTGAACGTAACCTACAACCTCTTCTCCGTCATCGACTTCAATGTCGTCACCGAAATCGTCTCCTTGTCAGGGGTGTTTGTTATCCTGTAGGTATCTATAACCTACTTATCAGTCAAACCATATAAAGGTTCTTCCAGATTTTCTTAACTGTAAAGCACAATATTTTGCCCTTAAGTATGTATGAAACTTAGGTTTGGTCGGATGTAGAGATTAATAATTCAATATAGAATAAATACCTACTTATTAAAAACAATTCATTTTGATACACTTTGTTACCAATAGTTGTACTTTGATATTAAAAGTGGAGCATTTAAAATAACGTTCGGCAGATGATTAGTTTTACTGTGTAGTTCATTTCTGAGGGCGTAGATGCTATAAAAGACATCAAGAAAATACCAACAAGGCAACATAATCATAATTCAAATTCAAATTTCATAAAACTAGAGCAAAATATGAACACAAGAAAGATTTACACGGAGACTCCTGAAAAAGTACAAGGAAAATAAGACAAGGTGTTCCAGAAGAATAAATGTCTTCTGCTTTATCGTCGACACCCGCCATGTAAAACTTGGTCAGTCCAAGTAAGTAATGTCATGTTCTCAAATGAGAACAAGGTATACAACAACGAAACCAACAGGCAAACTAACGAGAAATAAATAAGCTCAGCTTCAAGTCGCGCAAAGAAATAGAATATTTCTCATTGAGATCACTATGGCGATCATAAAACTTCCCCATATTTTTTATCAACCTGCATCTTTTGTAAACCCTGCATTACGAGTATGTCAGTCAGTTGACGACTTCTTGCACAAAAATTGTGATAATGGGAACAGGACCTTGATTATCGAATCATCTGTGACATGCAAATACCATAGGTTAGAAAAGCGGGCATATTGCTATCCAGAAATTGAAAATTGACAATAGGGAAATTGAAATCAAACAACTTGATGGAAAGCTGTCCCTGTTGGTTTCGTTGTAGGAAAAGGTCGAGATAAGCAGCTGATGAAGAAGAGTCTGATATGCCTTTGATTCGGTGTGCTATATTGATTCCATTTTTAATGCAAACAAATTCCAACGTTTTCTACTGCTGCTAGGTACTTTCCTGGAGTATACCTTTAATCACTTTTCTTGATCAGTAGGACCCAAGTGTAAATAAATCTTGAGCTTTGAGGAAATTTATCAAAATGCTCATTTTTCAGTTGCCTTGAAGATTTAATTGTAATTGTAAACTAGCATTTTTATATTATTCACGATTTTGTGCTTTGAAATTGCTTTTTGTTTTTGCCAACCAACGTTTAACGAAATTAACAAATTAAAAAAGTTAAATTTACGTCCGAGTTTTCGTCTAACAAAAACATATGTTCGATAGTCATCTATATATCTTTAGAAGAACATTGCAATGATTAGGTATCTGATTTGTCAATATGCAATTTTTTGGCGACATGCTTCATATTTATCTCAGTTTGCATTGCAACTAAGATATAAACATTTGTTGTCAACATTAGTTGGTTTGTTTTAATTGAGATATTATGAGTACAATTCCAGTCCTGAAAATAGATTGCAATAGCACTATGCAGGCCTCTTATTAGTTGCTGAGATTCAATATCTGCTGGATATATTCTTTGGATAACAAGTCCTTGTTAATTATTTCACTTTTTTTGTAATTACATAGAAGTTATTGAATTAAGTTTGCATTTCGCAATGACAACACTTAAATGATTAACATAATAAAATGAAAAAAATATTCTGAATGATCTAAGTAAGACAACATGCATTTATAATATATTCATGTTGTTAAAGTAACATGTTAGTTTAATGAGTATGACGTCATTATCTTCACATATATAAGTTGAATGTCACTTATCAAAACATCCCTTCTATTGGCAAGATGGCACGACTACCGGCTTCAATGGGACCCAGATGATTTTGGTGGTGTGGAAGGGATGGTGCTGCCGGCTTCTCAGTTGTGGCTTCCAAGCATTGTCCTAATCAATGCCGCTGACGGTATGCAGCACATCGGATCAGATGAATCCAACGTCTATGTGCTCTACAACGGAGATATTTACTGGAATCCTGGAGGCGTACTGATGTAAGGCTGCTACTGAGGGGTTAATGGAGGGTTAATTAAGTGTTAATTAACTGAAGTGATATAATTCTTTATAGCAAAACTGATATACATACCGTGATATTTTCGTCCCAGTTCTTTTCGCCCTTGTATCGCCATACATGAATTCGCCTTATGTTTGTCGGCTGGGGATAATATAATAAACGAGTTATTTAAGAAGGGCGAAAATGAAACGAGAGTGGGATAGGATGTGGGGTGGGTGTGGTGGTTTCCAGATAAGCAGAATACAGAATACATGAAAGGAATGGCCATGAACGACAAAACAGTCATCATGCATTCTGTCAAAGGCAATAATAAAAATCTGAAGCCAGGGGTTATCATTCTTTTTGAAGGCATCGTAAAATGACTATAGCATTATTATTAAAACTGCAACTAATTGTCTTGCCACCAGTTTCAAACGTTATCAAAGGTAAATCATAGCTTACCTGAACTATACTTTGGCAAAAGCATGCGTTTCCCTATGATTTACAAGGTTTACATGGCGGGTGTCGTCGATGAAGCAGAAGACGCTTACTCCTCCAAAAAAATTCTCCTTGTGCTTGTTCAGGAGTTTCCGTATAAATCTATCTTTTGCTCATATTTTGTCCTAGTTTTATGGAGTTTGAATTATGATTATATTGCCATGTTTGTATATTCTTGATGTTTTGAAGTCAGTTATAACTTCTTAAACAGTTTGATGCTACTCTGTAAATCTCACTTCTGAACTTATCTGGTTATAACTTAATATATAGTTTAATGCTACTTTTGAAATCTCACTTCTGAACTAATTTGTTGTTTACCGCACTTTCAGATCATCGTGTCTTGCAAATATGCGTTCCTTTCCGAAGGATCACCATATATGTAGATTGATCCTGTGCAACATGATCCATACCAGTCACGAGATGGAACTTGTTGTTCCAACATCCGCAGTGAATAATGAATTTCTACTTAAAAATGGTGAGTGGGATGTCCTCGGGATCCATATGTCGGATAAAGTTGATGACTATGACCAAATGGAATCTTCGTCAAGTTCGTACATATCCATAAGCATTCACATGGCAAGGAAATCTAAATATTTTATCATTAACATGCTTATTCCAGTGACAGTGCTGTGCATTCTAGAATCATTCGTGTTTCTAATTCCCGTCGAAGCGAGTGATAGGGTCTCATTTTCAATGACGCTTTTTCTAGCATTGTCTGTCTACATGTCCGTGATGGGGTCATTTCTTCCAACAACCTCCGAACGGCTGCCAGGAATGACCTATTTCCTGTTAGCGTCCGTTTTACACAGCACCATGGTAGTTCTGATGGCAATAGTTACCATTCGTTTCAGCATCAATGACGATCTACCAGCCTGGTTAGTTCGCTTAAACAGGATTAAAGACAAGAGACTACTGAAACGCAAACAACGAAAGAAGAAGAATGAAGATTTAAATGAAAATTTTCCACTCGACACTAAAGTTCATGACACTGAGATAGACATCCATGATGTTCTGGTGAAAAAATCCCTATTGCACGCCTTCGACATATTTCTGTTTGTGATAACTTTGGCTAGTATGGTGCTCATGTGTTTGATATTCTACATGGTGTATCTTACAGACGTTGAGGATTCTGAGCATTAAGTCAGTATAACACGATACCAAATATAATCTGATGAGAAGCTTCAGACCGTTTGTCCGATGGAAAAATGTTCCTTGCTTTAATGACATAATGATAATTCCAGCTGTAAGGAAATTGATTGGCTGGAGATTTCACTCTTTCCCATCAGATATGTGATATTTTTGCAAAGAAACATATTTTTGTATTACCTCATTTTTATGGTTTATATATATATATATATATTATAAATATATATCTATACATATATCAAAGCAAGATCACTAATGCATATTATTTGAAAATATCATACACTGTGTGTTGTGGGTTCATATTTGCGATGTGCAGAGCAAGTGTAAATAGTTGAGTCCAAACAGATCTGAAGCTTTGTTTTAAGAGGAAAATTATTTTTCATCCATCATTGAGAACATCACTGTAGTTTTAATGTCACGTCAATAAAGTAGTCAAGGAGTTACCCAACATGAACGACTAGACATCATAGTTTACAGAAATTTCACAGTGTACATATCAGTCAGAGCGACAAGTTGTTGAAACTAGTGTACATGGCTGAAATCGTTGTTCACCAAAATTATGAAGCTAAATACAAGTATTTTTATATATTATTTCATTTTAAATGACAAATTTTCGCAATTTTTTTTATTGCGTCTTTAGAAAACATGAAAATAAACAAAAACAACTGAGCACCACAACCATTCATTTAGTCCAAAGAAATGAAATTCATAACAAACAGCGTCATTAGCAAATTACCAACTTCAATTTCAAAATAACAAATAAACAAAACAGGTCATTAAGAGCCTGCGACAGGGCTCATTATCAATCAACTGAATAGTGTTCGATATAGACACAAAGTGATGTATACATTGAACTATCATTTTTGTGGTAGTGGTGCCGGAAGTGGGAGGTTGGGGGTTGGGGGGTTGGGGTTGGGGGTAGGGGTTCAAATCTTCATATCTTTATTCGGCTCCATCAGTAGTTTTTCTATTTGATTATAAGTTCTTTTTCATGTTTGCTTTTCGCAGAAACGTGTTGAAAGAGCAGAGCAGGTTCTTAAATACGAGTATCAAGATTCATACGAGTCAAATTACATATCTGAAACAGACCCTGACATTTTTAACACGTTTTGTGAAAAAGTAGTGTAATATGTTATGTCTGGCATTCTGACGCGTGTATCACCTAATCTAATGTCTACCTGTGTCGCCTGTTTTAGTAAATCGTGATCATATCAGGTTTCGTAATATCTTGTACAGTAGACAGTGAAGACACGTACACAGAATACTAATTAGTGGTGATTGGCTTTGTATATCTCGTCCAGCACTTTAAAATTCATTTTCATATACTACCTCCTGTTTCCAATATTTAAAAGTCGAAAGAAGAAAAAATATACATTCTAAACAAAAACAATAATCTTGCGTTTAAATCACATTCACAGAAGTCGCTTGTATGCTTTCGAGTTTCTCACAATTTCTGAGAGCCTCTGTGGAGTCGATAAACAATACATACCGTGTTGTATTTTCTCGTAACACAATGATTAAAAAAAGATATCTGACACCAACAATTTTGTGCAGTCACCTCTGCATAACTCTGTTTTCACTTTCTGTTCTCTACCTATGTCGCACGGTGAAGACGTGTTATTGTGACCAAAACAGGCTCTGCATTGTTATATAAACATTAGATACGTCACAATTCATCCGTTCACAGAACAATCCTTCGTATCTCTTCAAACGAACGTATACAAAACTTACCAAGTTGATAAATCTAATAACACATATGATGTGAATTATAATGACAATGAAATTCTATTGTATGTAAAGCAATGGATATGATGCATGTTAACAGAGGAGGACGCGATTTTATATGTTTGATTTATTGTTATGGGAAGCGTCCCTTGTATCAAATATGTGACGTTGTATATGTACAACAGTCGAACTTCGTTATTTCGAAGGACCGTTTGAAAAATTCGAGTTATCCGAGTATTCGATTTAAGTGAGGTCGAATTTTTTTTTTTTTTTTTTTTTTATGTTGAGATACTGGTATTTTATTTGTTTTTTTTAATTGTACAATCCTGTAGTTAATAATGTTAAACTTCTGTTTTTCAATGTACAATTTTGAGATTTATATATACAATATCGTTTTATATCGTAAATATTCGTGTCAACATTAACAAAACATAGAAGTTTTGATATTTTCTATATTCATGTTTTCCTCAGTCGCTCTTCATATCACGACAACATTCAAATCTACCAGTTATCTTCTTTCGTTTTGCCTTGTGATAGAGATAAATTTGGCACCAGAGAATGCACTGACGTGTTCTAGATGGATGTTTATCAATAGGTGCTATTTGCGTGTGTGTGTGTGTGTGTGTGTGTGTGTGTGGGTGAGTGTGTGTGTGTGTGCGTGTGTGTGTGTTTTGTCCCTTTGTATAGAATTGTGTTTAGACTCTATTTTGAAAAAATTCTATCACTGATTCCGAAATAAACGAAAATGCTTTCAAGTCAGTTAACAGGTGAAGGCATGGCAAACTTAATGCCGTGATGAAATCTTCTGTAATATTGAAATCGATCATGTCATATAGAATGCCAGTTTGGAAACCTATGTAGGTTTTTCGGTAACATTACACGTGGTTTATGTACAGTTTAAATGCTTTTACAATTAAACTGCCGGCTCTGACTTTCGCGACAAAATATATACACTTCTGGGAGTGACCGTTTTTACACAAGGCCAGTTTTCAACTATCGACAATTATCAAATAGGCGAAACGCCATACTATGGTTTTATGGCTGAACCAGTGTTTAATCATGTTTTATGTGGTACTAATTTCGCTGAAGTTCTTTGATTACAGTGGAAAGTATACTTCTATTTTGTACTTCCATGGATGTTTCTTATGAACTCATTTTTTTCATCTCAACATGTCAGCATTTTTCCGATAAGAATGCGAACCAAGGTATAATAAAGTAAACAAAAGGCAATAAAAATATATCAAACCTAATGTAACATAAAAATTAACCAATACTTCTATTTCATCCCAGGAATAGTAGTGTCCTTAATGACGGTACTTTCTATCGATATATCGGATGCATGGAAATCATTTTGAATTGATGTTATGATGCTATCTCACCCTTATCTACAGTAATGGAACAGTTACCTCCCTTTGAACGCCATGTATGCTATATATCAAAACTAGAATAATCCTAACCCCTGTTTTTGTTTGAATTGTTTTCTTCCTTTTGTGGTTGTTTGTCTTGTTTCCTGTTCAGACTACTATAATCGTACTGGTCATATTTTAATTAACAAAAAAGACGTTTTCAATATGAAATATTAAACATTTGTTTGAAAAAATCTATGAAAAAAAAAACAACTGCTGTTTTCGATAATTAATCATAGACACATGCATACATTGATGACTTAACAACTACAACTTAAACATAAACCCTCACAGGTAATAATTCCTATAGTTTTTTTCTGTATGTTTCCTTGGACACTTTACGTAAGGGGAAGTTCCAGATTTGCAACCGCCAAACAGCTCCCCTGCTTCGCTGTGCTAGTGGCAATTTATCTGAAACTTTATTCAACAGGCCGCAAATCGATTGGGGACTTCCCCAATAAGTATAGCAAAGTGATGCCAATACGGGTTACTGGTTTATCTTAAACATCAAACATTTGCACGGCTACGTCAGGAATGTTGTTTACTCGCAACGTAAATGAGATAAAATCACGAGATCCCTTACAAATATCAACAGAAACATAAATTAAAGAAAAAGAAAAAAAAAAAAAAAAAAAAAAATCCGCCAGCCTTGAGTTTTTCTTGCCGTCGAACACCTTAACCAATGGCATTAGGCTAGTCACTATTTCCTGTCCTGTTACATTTGATACCCTCTCGTCAGACTTATTAACTGTCGTGCTTTTCATAAAATACCCGTCAAGTTTTCCGCTGCTGAAGGTTGCGCCGATTCTTTCCTATAGCCACGTGCAGCTCTTCGTCATTTGCACCTTCATTTTATTGACTTTTCGTTTGGTTCTCGTTGACAACGATCTTTGCGTTATCCGTCGCGAAGGCTTGACAGGTGCCCACCTTCCAATCTTTCATTATCTTCTCGATATCGTTCGATTCACAGGGACTCGAATTTCCGACTCATGGTCCATGTATATCTATTATGGTGACATGGGATGTATCTCCCGAAAACGGAAAACTGAACAGGATTTTAATTATTTGTACGGGTCACATATCTTAGTAAGACAATATTAATTTTCAAAGAAAATTCAGAGTGAGACGAAGGGCAGTAACTCTTGGAGATCTGCATGGTATTTCGCGATTTCTATTATTGAAGTACCCATTACAGACGAGATTGTGTTTCAACCGGACAGGGAAATGTCTACGTGGACATTCTACATACAAGGTCGATACTTGGCCTATCTCGTACATCAAACACTCATTTGAACGATAATGCATTTTTCTTAAATGTGATACATATGTTACTAAGATCTGCGGCCCCTAGAATATATAACAAAAAAACTAACTGAAAACAACATGTTCAGTTTTCCGTTGTCGGCAGTTACAACCTTTGTCACTATTAAATATATATATGGACCCATGAGTCGGAAATTCGTGCCAAGTCCCTATGGTTCGATTTGAAAACACCGTTTGCTGGTAGTCGGAGTTATACGGCTGTGGTAACTGGATAACTGGACCGAGATCAAGAAAATGGTATACTCAGGGTTAGGTCTCTTTTAGCAAGTCTAAAAAGATGAATGCTTTTCAGCTGTCTTCAGTTATCAATTGTTTTGAAAGGTTTATTTATCTAGTAATGTTAATTGACCATTGCAAACACATAAGTGTAGGAGAGGACAAACATTTGATTGCTAAACTGCCAGTGCTGTAGGTAGTAGTCTAAAGGATGTCATATCAGGTCAGAACATTTAAAACTGTCGGTGCTGTAGGTAGTAGTCTAAAGGATGTCATATCAGGTCAGAACATTTAAAACTGTCGGTGCTGTGGGTAGTAGTCTAA